ATATGTAAATGTCCCGATCTGAACTGTTTGGGAAGGATTAGGAGGTGTGGCCTTGGTTGTCTCAACATGAAAGCTTTCTTCTACTTCCAGTGCCATGCCTGCCAGCTGCTATGCTCCCCGCCATGATAATCATGGACTCATTCTCTGAAACTGTTAGGCAAGCCTCCAGTTAAATCATTTCTTTTCCAAGTTGCCTTGGTCATAGTTACTTTTTTATTGCTGCGAAGAAACACTAAGACAGTGCCCAACACGGGGCTTCCCAATACAAAGTAGATTTAGCTCTAAAGTAAAAGATTAATTCCATAGGAGCTGGGCATTTCAACACCCAAATTTCCTCATGGGGCATACTCTGCAAACACAAAATCATCAAAGAGACAGCAGCGTAGAACCATACTTCAAAGGAAACACATTCCTAACAGTTACTGAACATTTTATCCAGCAGCAGCACACAGATTCCCATCAGAATCTTGAGGACAGAGCAGTTAAGCCACAAATCAAGACTCAACAATTGCAGCTCTACTCAGACTATGAAAGATTAAATCTACAATCTAAGAACAACAGAGGCAATGGAAAGTGAACAAATAAATACATATAAATTGAATGACATGCTCCTAATGGCCAAGAGGTCCCACAGAAATTCAAAGTCATAAAAACTAGTATGAATGCCTACCAGAAGCTGGAAAAACTAGAAATGAGTAGATGTTTGAGCCTATCTAATATGCCCCAAAGTGAATCAAAGTGAACAGAAAATCCAAACAGACCAATAATCAGCAAATGTTGAAACAGTAAGACCCTTTCATCTTAGGGCTGGAAAGATGAGTCATCTGTGAGGAGTGTCATGGCTCTTGCAGAGTACCAAGTTTTGTTCCCAGCACTTCTGCCTGTAACTCCAACTCCAGGGGAATCTGAGACCTCTGGCCTCTGCAGGCACCCGAACTCACATGCACATACTTACATATAAACACATAAACATATAGTTAAAATCTTTGAAAAAAATTCAACCTTTCCTCTAAAATGTCTCAGTTCTGATGGCTTTGCTGAGAGTATTTAAAGGATAACTACTTCTCATGCCTTTTAAACTATTCCAAAAGTCCCAAATGACCAGAACTCTTCCAAATTCTTTATAAGGCTAACATTACCCTGATACCCAAGCCAGACAAACAAAAACCAATTCAATAGAGCATATAGTGCTACTGCACACAGAAATAGCTGTGGACTCATACCCCACAATGGACACAGAAGCAAGCATTCTCATTACATATTAGTGATCAAAGTTCGAGTTGATGCTTATATCCTAGTAAGACCTGAACCAATATTCCAGCCTGCATGCAAATGAGAACATGCATAAGACACTGGTTTTTAAACTCCTTTAGAATTCATTAGAATTTGCCTCTTGAAATAGCATTTCCCTTTTCACATAAAAAAGAACATATACCATGATTAGGTGGAACTGGTCCCAGGCATGCAAGGATGGTTTAACATGTACAAATCAAGAAATGCGATACTGTATCATCAGAAGGAAGAAGAGAAACCATACAGTTCATTTTGCAGAAAAGGCGTTTGATAAAATTCATGGTAAAATTACTAAATAATTGCACATATAATCATACTTCCATGGACTGAAGAACATTTATATATAACAGCTATCACATACTATACTTGGGCAAAAGGAAAACGCTTGCTTGCTTTCTTTTGAAAGAAGACAATGATGCCCATCCTCACCACTGTTAACAGTACCGAAAGGAAGTCTTTGCAAGAGCAATGAAGCAAAAGAAAGGTTTAAAGGACATCTGATTCAGAAAGGATGAGAGGTTAATTGATCTATGTTTGCAGGCATGATTTTATGCATAAATACGTCACCAAAAGCATTAGAATGATAACTCATAAGAATGAAAAGCAGGTCACACCAGGAAAAGGCTTTCTTTCCATACATACCACATGGGTTTCCCCTGGAGGGTAGACACTCAGTGGGGTCATTCGTTTCTGAAGAGGCACTAAGGGAGGTCTCTCCCTGATACATGGCTCCCTGTGAATTTTTCTTTGTAGAATCAAGGACAGAAAAATGGCCAGCAAGATCAGGCCCAGCACCGCCATTACCACGATGAACCACAGCTCGGTGTAGAACTCTGTGATTTTGGTCCCTGCTCCCTTCTTTTCGCCAGGAGTTGTCAGCACTGGGCCTGAAAAACACAGGAAAGGAAAAGATTCTTTCAGTAGGCAATCTTGTGGCCTGTGGGGCTGGTTTTTTGATAGTGAAGCAGTCTTGTGTGCTTGTTTCTAACTACGTGTGAGCTAGAGTGATGGTTTGGGGTGCTCCAAGGATAGTGCTGCAGATCACCATCACCTTACAGGGATGAGGCCAGCAGTTCACAGTGCTGCAGATCACCATCACCTTACAGGGATGAGGCCAGCAGTTCA